GTCTCGTGTACTCGAGCTGCGTGTACTCTGCACGTGTGTGCACTTTACACGCGTGTGTGTGTGTACGTGAGTCCACGTGTGTGTGTGTGCACTTTACACGTGTGTGTCCACGTGAGTGTGCGTGTGTCCACGTGTGTGTACGTGTGTCCACGTGAGTGTACGTGAGTCTACGTGAGTGTGCGTGTGTCCACGTGAGTTCACGTGAGTCCACGTGAGTGTACGTGTGTCCACGTGTGTGTGTGTGTCCACGTGTGTGTGTGTGTCCACGTGAGTGTACGTGTGTCCACGTGAGTGTACGTGTGTGTGTCCACGTGTGTGTACGTGTGTCCACGTGAGTGTACGTGTGTCCACGTGAGTGTACGTGTGTCCACGTGAGTGTACGTGTGTGTGTCCACGTGAGTGTACGTGTGTGTGTCCACGTGAGTGTACGTGTGTGTGTCCACGTGAGTGTACGTGTGTGTGTCCACGTGTGCGCGAGCGCGTGTGTGTGTGTGTCCACGTGCGTGCTTTACACGTGCGTACGTGAGTCCACGTGATTCCACGTGCGCGTGTATGTGTATGTGTGTGCGCCGTAATTCCAACACCCGACCTCCAAACCACCACCACCACCACCGCCTGAGTGAAGAATTTTAAAAGAACAGATTTACCGTTGTGACTACCCGCCCGACACCGTACCTGCCTGCCCGCCTACCTGCTCCTACCACGACAAGTCACCTGCGAATGCCCCGCGCTCTCGACTTCTGGGATGTAATTCAAGGGTCCCGGAGTTGGAATTCTGCTGCCCGCGAGAGGCGAGGAGACACACGGAGAGAGAGAGACGGACGCGGAGAGAGAGAGAGACGGACGCGGAGAGAGACGGACGCAGAGAGAGACGGACGCGGAGAGAGACGGACTGAGAGAGACGGACGCGGAGAGAGACGGACTGAGAGAGACGGACGGAGAGAGACGGACTGAGAGAGACGGACGGAGAGAGACGGACTGAGAGAGACGGACTGAGAGAGACGGACTGAGAGAGACGGACTGAGAGAGACGGACGGAGAGAGACGGACGGAGAGAGACGGACTGAGAGAGACGGACGCAGAGAGACGGACGGAGATAGACGGACGCGGAGAGAGACGGACGCAGAGAGAGACGCGCGAGAGTTTGAGAGACGCGGAGGCCCAGCGGAGACCCCAAAGGGGGACAGGGAGGCCGGGTGAGAGACACTGGGGGAGAGAGTTCGGGGTGGGAGATGGGGAGGAATTAGCGAAGCGTGAGAGAGACACGGGCAGAGAGAGACACGGGCAGAGAGAGACACGGGCAGAGAGAGACACGGGCAGACTGAGACACGGGCAGACTGAGACACGGGCAGACTGAGACACGCGGGTAGAGACGCGCGGAGATTCTGAGACACGCGGACACAGGAGGGGAGAGTTGTCGCTGTAGAGTCGGCATCTCGAGACTCGACAGGGAGACGATACATTCGTTGGAGATCGACGGGGAGAGACATCCACAGGGAGAGAGACATCCACAGGGAGAGAGACATCCACAGGGGGAGAGACATCCACAGGGAGAGAGACATCTACAGAGGGAGAGAGACATCCACAGGGAGAGAGACATCTACAGAAAGAGAGACATCCACAGGGAGATACATCCACAGAGGGAGAGAGACATCTACAGGGAGAGACATCCACAGGGAGAGACATCCACAGGGAGAGAGACATCCACAGGGAGAGACATCCACAGGGAGAGACATCTACAGGGGGAGAGACATCTACAGGGAGAGAGACATCTACAGGGAGAGAGACATCTACAGGGAGAGAGACATCCACAGGGAGAGACATCCACAGTGAGAGAGACATCTACAGGGAGAGAGACATCCACAGGGGGAGAGACATCCACAGGGAGAGAGACATCTACAGAGGGAGAGAGACATCTACAGAGGGAGAGACATCCACAGGGAGAGAGACATCTACAGGGAGAGACATCTACAGGGGGAGAGACATCCACAGGGAGAGAGACATCCACAGGGAGAGACATCCACAGGGAGAGACATCCACAGGGAGAGACATCTACAGGGAGAGAGACATCTACAGGGAGAGACATCCACAGAGAGAGACATCCACAGGGGGAGAGACATCCACAGGGGGAGAGACATCCACAGGGAGAGACATCCACAGAGAGAGACATCCACAGGGAGAGAGACATCCACAGAGGGAGAGACATCCACAGGGAGCGACATCCACAGGGAGAGACATCCACAGTGAGAGAGACATCCACAGGGGGAGGGACATCTACAAAGGGAGAGACATCTACAGGGGGAGAGACATCTACAGGGAGAGACATCCACAGGGAGACACCCACAGGGGAAGAGACATCCACAGTGAGAGACATCTACAGGGGGAGAGACATCTACAGGGGGAGAGACATTCACAGGGAGAGAGACATCTACAGGGGAAGAGACACCCACAGGGGAAGAGACATCCACAAGGAGAGACATCTACAGGGAGAGACATCTACAGGGGGAGAGACATCCACAGGGAGAGAGACATCTACAGGGGAAGAGACATCCACAGGGAGATAGACATCTACAGGGGAAGAGACATCCACAGGGAGAGACATCTCCAGGGAGAGACATCTACAAGGAGAGACATCTACAGGGAGAGAGACATCCACAGAGGGAGACATCTACAGTGAGAGACATCCACAGGAGAGACATCCACAGAAGGAGACATCCACAGGGAGAGACATCCACAGGGAGAGACATCTACAGGAAGAGAGACATCTACAGGGGAAGAGACATCCACAGGGAGAGACATCTACAGGGAGAGACATCCACAGTGAGAGACATCCACAGGGAGAGACATCCACAGGGAGAGACATCTACAGGGGGAGACATCCACAGGGAGAGAGACATCTACAGGGAGAGACATCCACAGTGAGAGACATCTACAGGGGGAGACATCCACAGTGAGAGACATCCACAGGGAGAGAGACATCCACAGGGAGAGACATCCACAGGGAGAGATCGAGAAAGGCAGCGGCGAGAGACGGTAGGAGGAGGGAGGGGTGATGAGAGACACCGCTCGCAGAGAGACAAACGCGGACAGACTGTCCGCTCGTCACTTGTGGACATCTCGATAGACCGACGGAACGCAGAGGAAGAGGGTACGGGGGATGCATCCAAGTGCGTTGGCACTCCACGCGGTTCCACGCCCCGCCGGATCGAGGGCAGCCACGGCGGGCATCAGATAGACAAAGTGGGGAGGTGGTGGTGTGGTGGTGGTGGTGGGGAGAGAGCGATGCGGTGAGCGGACAAGAAACGGATTTTGTCCCCCCCGCGCTCCGCACTGGACCATGCAGACAGCAGCAAGAAGAGACAGGGTGGTGCAGGAGGAGGTGGTGGTGGCGGTGGTGGAGGCAGTGGCGGTGGTGGAGGCGGTGGCGGTGGGCGTTCGTTTGTGCCGGTCTTCCGCTCAGCCGGACACGCGGCTGCGAGTGGGACAAGGCCACGTGTAGCGTCGACGGACAGAGGAGGAGAGGCGAGGCCAGTTCGACAGATAGATAGACAGATTTATAGACTGACCGATAGACAGACCGATAGACTGACCGATAGACAAACCGATAGACTGACCGATAGACAGACCGATAGACTGACCGATAAACAGACCGATAGACAGACCGATAGACTGACCGATAGACTGACCGATGGACTGACCGATAGACTGACCGATAGACTGACCCGATTGACAGCAGACACGGATGACGTGAGAATCGAGAGGCGGTGAGCACCCTCCCGTGTCGTCTCCCGCTCTCCCCGTCTCTGTCTCTCTCTTCTCGCGAGAAAGCGGACGGGCAAGCCGAGACGAGCCTCTGTCTCGGCTACAGAGACGGACAGAGACACACGCGCGGAGAGACGCACGCGCGGAGAGACGCACGCGTGTCCTGGATTATTAAGCTCGCCCGTCTGCTTGAAGACGCGGAAATTCTCCGCCGTGTAGGCGACGGCCCTCTCGCCCGTCCGTCCGCCCGCCCGCGCGCGGAGACGCCAAGAGTTTCGCGGCCCTTCGGATTCATGCCGCCGCTGTGCAACCGAGAGACGCCGGTTTCAGAAGGGACATGCCGGGAGGATTTAACTCCACCCTGAAGGATCTTCAGTCATCGGGAAAAACATTGGGTTTGCGAGTGGATTCCCAGGCTCGGAGCATTAAACGAAGTTACGGGACATCCGTCGTCATCATCATCATCACAATCGTCATTGTCTGAAGCATCGCCATCATCATCAGAATCATCATCCCATCACCGCCACGGCCACGACCATCACCACCGTCATCACCAGCCATTACTGGGACTAATCAACACCACCATCATCTGAATCTTCACCATCCCACTACCACCCCATCATTATTTGAACCATCACCTGACTCAGCACCACCATCATCTGAATCATCACCACCACCATCACCTGACCCATCACCACCATCATCTGAATCACCATCTGACCCATCACCACCATCATCTGAATCATCACCATCATTTGAATCACCATCATCTGACCAATCACCAACACCATCATCTGACCCACCACCACCATCATCTGACCCACCACCATCATCATCTGACCCATCACCACCATCATCATCTGACCCATCACCACCATCATCTGAATCACCACCACCATCATCTGACCCATCACTGACTCACCACCACCATCATCTGACCCATCATCACCACCACCATCATCTGACCCATCACCACCATCATCATCTGACTCACCACCACCATCATCTGACCCATCATCACCACCACCATCATCTGACCCATCACCACCATCATCATCTGACCCATCACCACCACCATCATCATCTGAAAACATCACCACCACCATCTGAATCACCACTACCACCATCATCTGAATCACCACCACCATCATCTGACCCGTCACCACCACCACCATCATCTGACTCACCACCACCATCATCTGACCCATCACCACCACCACCACCATTATCTGACCCATCACCACCACCACCATCATCTGACTCACTACCACCACCACCATCATCTGACCCATCACCACCACCACCTGACCCATCACCACCACCACCATCTGACCCATCATCACCACCACTACCATCTATAGAGAGAGACTCTGACTCGGAGCGTGAGCTGCCTGGAGGAGGAGGAGGTTGAGGAAGGCCCCCGCCGCCCCTGCCGCTGCCCCCGCTGCTGCCGCGATGGGCTGGCTGGCCGTGGTGTGGTGGGCGCTGAGCTGCTGCTGGGCTGCTTCTCTGCACCCATCTCGGAGTTTCCTACTCGCCGCTGAACTCGACCCCGTCTACTGGAACTCGAGCAACCCCCTGTGAGTACCCCTCCCTGTGAGTACCCCTCCCTGTGAGTACCCCTCCCTGTGAGTACCCCGCTCTGTGAGTACCCCTCCCTGTGAGTACCTCCTGTGAGTACCCCTGTGAGTACCCCTCAGACCCCCCTGTGAGTACCCCCCTGTGAGTACCCCTCGGACCCCCCCCTGTGAGTACCCCCTGTGAGTACCCCTCCCTGTGAGTACCCCTCAGACCCCCCTGTGAGTACCCCCTGTGAGTACCCCCCCCTGTGAGTACCCCCCCTGTGAGTACCCCTCCCTGTGAGTACCCCTCGGACCCCCCCCCTGTGAGTACCCCCTGTGAGACCCCCTGTGAGTACCCCCTGTGACTACCCCTGTGAGTACCCCCCCCGTGGAGTACCCCTCAGACCCCCCCCCCCCCCGCCTGTGAGTACCCCCTCACTCAGACGTATTGACCAGGTCGTGAGAGACACGCGAGATATTAACTACCTCGCCTTGTACACAGGAGGTCGTGGGTTCGATCCAGACCCTGACGACCCCTGCTGCTGCTGTAGATGTGGAGTCTGCGTCACTCTCTCATCATCATCACCACGGTGGCTAGTGAGATGTTGACTACCTCGCCTGGTATGCAGGAGGTCGTGGGTTCGATCCCGGCCCTGACGATGCCTGCTGCTGCTGTATATTTGGAGTCTGCGTCTCTCGCATCATCATCACCACGGTGGCTAGGAGATGTTGACTACCTCGCCTGGTGTACAGGAGGTCGTGCGTTGGATCCAGACCCTGACGATGCCTGCTGCTGCTGCTGTATATTTGGAGTCTGCGTGTCTCTCTCTCATCATCATCATCACGGTGGCTATGGAGATGTTGACTACCTCGCCTGGTGCGCAGGAGGTCGTGGGTTCGATCCCGACCCTGACTCTCTCCGTGTGCCGCGTGGATTTTTTCTCCGGGGGTCCTTCCGTTTTATTTCCCCTCCGCATTGAAGACTCGACACGGGGCGTGCGCTGTTTGAGCTCTTTGAGCTGCCGCTGTCTTCTCTGTTGGCCAGGCTCTCCCTCCCGTCTGACAATAAGAGCGACGTAGCTTCTCAGTAGTGGGGTCTTACCTGGTACAATACCAAAAAAATGGTTTACATTTTATTTTAGTCTGTGAGTCTCTATGTATCTCTGTGGGTCTCCGTGTGTCGCTGTGGGTCTCTGTGTGTCTCTGTGGGTCTCTGTGTGTCGCTGTGTGTCGCTGTGGGTATCTCTGTGTCTCTGTGTATTTCTGCGTGTCTCTGTGGGTATGTGTGTGTCTCTGTGGGTCTCTGTGTGTCTCTGTGGGTCTCTGTGTGTCTCTGTGTGTCTCTGTGGGTCTCTTTGTGTCTCTGTGGGTCTCTGTGTGTCGCTGTGGGTATCTCTGTGTGTCTGTGTATTTATGCGTGTCTCTGTGGGTCTGTGTGTGTCTCTGTGTGTCTCTGTGTGTCTCTGTGGGTCTCTGTGTGTCTCTATGCATCTCTGTGTTTCTCTGCGTCTCTGTGGGTCTCTGGATCTGTGTGTGGCTCTGTGTGTCTCTGTGTGTCTCTATGGGTCTCTGTGTGTCTCTATGGGTCTCTGTGTATCTCTATGGGTCTCTGTGTGTCTCTCTATCTCTCTATAGGTCTCTGTGTGTTTCTCTGCGTCTCTGTGGGCCTCTGTGTGTCTCTGTGTGTCTCTATTCATCTCTGTGGGTCTCTGTGTGTCTCTTTGGGTCTCTGTGTGTATCTGTGTGTCTCTGCGTCTCTGTATGTCTCTGTGGGTCTCTGTGGGTCTCTGTGCGTCTCTATGGGTCTCTGTGTGTGTATCTCTGTGTGTCTCGGTAGGTCTCTGCGGGTCTCTGTGGGTCTCTGTGTGTCTCTGTGTGTCTCTGTGGGTCTCTATGTGTCTCTGTGGGTTTCTGTGTGTGTATCTCTGTGTGTCTGTGCGTCTCTGTGTGTCTCTGTGTGTCTCTGTGGGTCTCTGTGCGTCTCTATGGGTCTCTGTGTGTGTATCTCTGTGTGTCTCGGTAGGTCTCTGCGGGTCTCTGCGTGTCTCTGTGTGTCTCTGTCCGTGTCTCTCTGTGTGTCTGCGTGTGTGTGTGTCTCTCTCTCTCTCTCTCTGTGTGTGTGTGCGCTTCAGAACTATAAATGCCCGCGTGTCGATGACGGCGATGACGGTGTATCAGGCCGCCACTTGCTGTGAGTCTCTGTCGTTTGTCATGGCCACGGCGGCTGGCTGCCCGTCGCCCAGCCAGCTCATCCATCGGTGGTGGGCGGCCAAACTCAATAAATACGCGCTCGAGACAGGGACGCTGATAGCGCAGTGCGTCAACCGCTGCACCACCGCTCCCCCGTCCACCGCTACGCTACAGGCGAATCGCCGCGCGGGAACGGTGGCGCAGCGATTAGCGCACTGCGGTAAGGGGCCTCTGCGGTAGTCGGCCCGAGGATTTCTCCGCCACGACCCGCTTGTTGTGATTGGCGGCGAAAGCCTCGCGGCAACTTCTCGGGTCGGGAAATGTTGCGGCTCGGCTCTCCGGCACCGCGCACGCAACGGGCGTGCGCGGTGCGGTACCAGCGACGAGTAGTGTATAGTGTAGTGTAGTGTATAGTGTAGGGTATAGTGTAGTGCGTAGTGTATAGTAGTGTATAGTGTAGTGTATAGTGTAGTGTGTAGTGTAGTGTGTATAGTGTAGTGTATAGTGTGGTGTGTAGTGTAGTGTGTAGTGTATAGTGTAGTGTATAGTGTGGTGTGTAGTGTGTAGTGTAGTGTGTAGTGTAGTGTGTAGTGTAGTGTGTAGTGTAGTGTGTAGTGTATAGTGTAGTGTATAGTGTAGTGTATAGTGTAGTGTGTAGTGTATAGTAGTGTATAGTGTAGTGTATAGTGTAGTGTATAGTGTAGTGTGTAGTGTATAGTGTAGTGTATAGTGTAGTGTATAGTGTGGTGTGTAGTGTAGTGTATAGTGTGTATAGTGTAGTGTATAATGTAATGTATAGTGTAGTGTATAGTGCAGTGTAGTGTGTAGTGTATAGTGCAGTGTAGTGTGTAGTATATAGTGCAGTGTATAGTGTAATGTATAGTGTAGTGTATATTCGTGTATAGTGTAGTGTATAGTGTAATGTAATGTGTAGTGTATAGTGTAGTGTATAGTAGTGTAGTGTGTAGTGTAGTGTATAGTGTAGTGTATAGTGTAATGTATAGTGTATAGTGCAGTGTATAGTGTAGTGTATAGTGTAATGTATAGTGTAGTAGTGTATAGTGTAGTGTATAGTGTAATGTATAGTGTAGTGTATAGTGTAGTGTGTAGTGTATAGTGTAGTGTATAGTGTACACTACACTATACACTACACTTACGAGTATCAATGTTGTGGCTTGGCTCTCCGACACGCACGCACAACCGGCGTGGTGCCGTACTAAAAACGAATTGTGCCACGTTCTGTAGTGTAGTGTGTAGTGTAGTGTGTAGTGTATAGTGTTGTGTATAGTAGTGTACAGTGTAGTGTATAGTGTAGTGTATAGTGTAGTGTATAGTGTAGTGTATAGTAGTGTGTAGTGTAGTGTGTAGTAGTGTAGTGTGTAGTAGTGTAGTGTGTAGTAGTGTGTAGTGTATAATGTAGTGTATAGTGTAGTATAGTGTAGTGTATAGTGCAGTGTCTAGTGTAATGTATAGTGTGTATAGTGTAGTGTATAATGTAATGTAGAGTGTAGTGTATAGTGTAATGTGTAGTGTATATTCGTGTATAGTGCAGTGTATAGTGCAGTGTATAGTGTAATGTATAGTGTATAGTGTGTAGTGTATAGTGTACACTACACTATACACTACACTTGCGAGTATCAATGTTGTGGCTTGGCTCTCCGACACGCACGCACAACCGGCGTGCTGCCGTACTAAAAACGAATTGTGCCACGTTCCGTGCACGTGACACTAAACCGCACTAAATTGGCTGTGCCGGGTGGTGGCGGGTTTCACGAGACAACGTTCACATGGTTTACGCGGTCTAACCCAAGAACATTTTGTTTTGTGTACCGATATTTAATGTCGTCTCTAGCAGGGTAAGGGCCCCGCTGAGCTGCTCCGTAGGTATTTTTTTTTTCCGAAGCGAACCTGGCCACAAGTGATCGCCCAACCAAGTGAAGGCTCATTATCATCATCGTCGTCGTCATCGTCATCGTCATCGTCGTCGTCATCAACGTCATCATCAACGTCGTCATCGTCATCATCATCATCGTCGTCGTCATCACGTGGACATTTACATGAGCAGCCAGATACTCTGAACGCGTGACGTCGTTGATTGGAAATGTGGAGGTGGACCCGGAGACAGATCCACGCGACCACGGGGAGAGAGAGAGAGACGCAGACTGCAAATATACAGCAGCAGCAGCAGGCGTCGTCAGGGTCGGGATCCAAGGCACGACCTCCTGTACACCAGGCGAGGTAGTCAACATCTCCCTAGCCCACCGTGGTGATGATGATGATGAGAGAGAGAGACACGCAGACTCCAAATATACAGCAGCAGCAGCAGGCATCGTCAGGGTCGGGATCGAAGCCCACGACCTCCTTGTACACCAGGCGAGGTAGTCAACATTTCCTAGCCACCGTGATGATGATGAGAGAGAGAGAGACACGCAGACTCCAAATATACAGCAGCAGCAGCAGCAAGCGTCGTCAGGGTCGGGATCCAACCCCACGGCACTTGCCCCTAGGGCCCGTTAGAGTCTACACGGGGGACATCTGTCTTTTTGCGTCATCAAACGCTCCACCTCATCAGCCACCCACGAGCGATGGGGCAGTTGTGGAGAGAGTGGAGAGTTTCCCCCCATGCCTGGGCAGTCTGCTCATGACCGGCTCCGGTTTGACAGCATAAGTCTCACTCCGAATCAGTCGGGCGGCAATATCTTTTCATCGGCTGCGTAACGCCGCTGTGTGGAGGCTACCTGGTCTGTCGCTCCGCACGAAGCTTCGGGTCTTCTCGGCCAAGGTCATGGCCCTGCCCCTTCTCTGCGCTTGCGAAATGTGGACCCCCC